TTTTTGAGATGGAGTTTCGTTTTTGTTGCCCAGGCTGGAGTGCAATGGTGTGATCTCGGCTCACTGCAACCACCGCCTCCCAGGTTCAAGAAATTCTCCTGCCTCAGTCTCCTGAGTAGCTGGGATTACAGGCATGTGCCACCACACCCAGCTAATTTTTGTATTATTAGTAGAGACGGGATTTCACCATGTTTGCCAGGTTGGTCTCGAACTCCGGACGTCAGGTGATCTGCCCGCCTTGGCCTCCCAAAGTGCTGGGATTACAGGTGTGAGCCACTGCGCCCAGACTTTGTATGCATTTTTAGATGTAGGTATTTATTGTACCTTTTGAGACAACAGTTCCAATTTTGGATATTTAATTAATGGAACTAATCAGATCAGTGTGCAAAGATGCAGATAAGCTACTGTCCACAGTGGAGTGGTTTTTTTTGTTTTTTGCTTTTTGAGACAGAGTCTGGCTCTGTCACCCAGGCTGGAGTGCAATGGCACCATCTCGGCTCACTGCAACCTCCATCTCCCGAGCACAAGTGACCCTCCCCCCTCAGCCTCCTGAGCAGCTGGGACAACAGGCATGTGCCACCACGCCTGGCTAATTTTTGTATTTTTTGTAGAGACAGGGTTTCATCCTGTTGCCCAGGCCGGCCTTGAACTTCTGAGTTCAAGCGACCTGCCCACCTTGTCCTCCTAAAATGCTGGGATTACAGGCATGAGCCACCAAACCTGGCCAAAGTATGTTTAAAATATGTTTAAAATTGTTACAATAAACACATACTGACCAACAAAAAACTAAAATGACAAACTGGATACAAATCTAGAACCCTGAGTCAACCCTCTCTGGCTTTGTCAGATGCTGCAGAAACAAATAACATATTTCTTTCTCTTTTTTTGAGACAGAGTTTCACTCTTGTTGCCCAGGCTGGAGTATAATGGCACCATCTCAGCTCACTGCAACCTCCACCTCCCGGGTTCAAGTGATTCTCCTGCCTTAGCTTCCCAAGTAGCTGGGATTATAGGCGCCCGCCACCACAACCAGCTAATTTTTGTATTATTAGTAGAGATGGGGTTTCACCACATTGGCCAGGCTGGGCTTGAACTTCTGACCTGAGGTGATGCATCCTCCTCAGCCTCCCAAAGTGCTGGGATTACAGGCATGAGCCACCACATCTGGCCAATTTTGTATTTTTAGTCGAGATGGGGTTTCACCATGTTGGCCGGGGTGATCTCGAACTCGTGACCTCAGGTGATCAATCTGCCTCGGCCTCCAAAAATGCTGGGATTACAGGCGTGAGCCACTGCGCCTGGCCAAAGACATATTTCTATCAAAGCACGTATCCAGTTTGCTTCTAGAGTGAGTATCATATTGTCATTTGCATGATTAAACTAAACTTTATGCCTTATTTGCATTTTATTAGTTTTGCCTTTAATGTTCTTTTCTTGTTCCAGGATCCCATTTAGGATGTCATACTGCATTTAGTTGTCTTGTCTCCTTAAGCCCCTCGGGGAGATCCCTGCATTTTAAACAGGGCTTAACCATGTTATTGGACTGTGACTTCTGCCAAAGACCTGGGCCACCCATCCCCAAGGCAAGATGAGGACACTCACCCTGGATCCTGAGTTCCTGAGGACTGCCTTGATCTGCTGTTGGGAGCAGCACCAATTTCTGTATCTTCTTCTTTCTCCTCTTTATGGGAGAACAGGATAGTCTTTGCACTTGAGCTCTCCCAGACAGTAACAGCTGTCACTTAGGGGACAGTGCCTGGAGAGCCTGCGGCAGCTGAACCCATCTGGTAGCTCTGGCCTTAGCACACACCCAGGCCTGGAGCTTTCTCTATCACTCCGGGGTGACTGACCTCTTGAATGAGTAGACTCAGAGTGCAAACAGACTCCACCTGACTTTCACAATCCGAAAGCACCAGGAGTCCAGTGCTTACTTTGTTACGTGTTGGCCTCTAGTAAAGAGAAAACATCCGGATCCTCTGGACAGGCAGGAGAATGAACTGCAGAGGACCTGTGGTCTGTGGGTTCCATCACTGCAGGGGGATATGTGGTGTGCCCACTCCAGGTCTCTATTGCCCAATATCATCATCAATACTTAACCACGGAGCAGGGAGCCAGGCTGGCCTTTTACAGCCTGTGCTTTCTCATAGTGAAGGTCATGGCATCATGTGAATTCCTCACAAGGAGCTGTAAAATATGACCTTTGGAGGTGGGGGTTGGGAAAGGCTGTGTGAGCACCAGTGACCCAGAGAGTAGGAAGCAGGCCAAGGCAAGCAATTTGGTGGGGAAGCAGGAATGAGGTGCTCCTCCCACCAGGGCAGCGCCATTCAACTCTGATAGTCTATGGACTTTTCCATCAACTGGCTCCGTGCATCTTAAGCAATCATTGTTGGTTTAGTGGGGTGCGGGCTTATTTCACATAAGCCCACTCCTATGTCTTTTTTTTTTTTTTTTTT